AAAAAAAAAAAAAACGATGAAAAAAGGTACTTACTTCCATGCGCTTATCGTAAGCTAACGGATCAAAATCTGCCTCTAAATCATCTACGCTTAGCGGTAGATCATCATCTCCTGTAAGTTTCTTTAGCTTCTTCAATTTCTCTTCAATTTCTGCTTTTCTTAAGGCTCTTAACTCCTTAATCTCATCCTTTCTGGCTTGTTTTTCCATTTTCTTGCGTTCCCTATAAGACTCTCTTTTTTGTTTTCGACGTTCATTCTTTTTCCGCAACGACTGCTTAATTGTGCGTGGATATTGTCTAATCTAGAAAGCAGAAATGAAACAACTTTCTATCATCTTTTACTTATTGATCTGAATCTAAATTAAGTACTAATTTCGCAAAAAAGTGGGAAGCAAAAGCGTATTTTCATAGGATATTATGAATTTACAAAATTGAAGATAACAAAAAGATGCTTTACAAAAATTGTACTTATGTCGATTATGAAAAGTGACTAACAAAATCTATATCAGGTTCTTCGTAGCGAAAATTATATTTTCGCTCGAATTCATTTTCTCGCTCAAACTCTTCTTCATCTTCTTCGAGATTCACAATTTCGTCATAAGATGGAACTCTAAAATTACATAATTTTTAGCAACAAGTAAGTAAGCATAAGAGCAAATGATATTCCATGGTCAAAAAAACCTAAATTGAAACTTTTTAGAACCTACAACAACAAAGGTGATTGTTTCAATTTTACGCTTACAAATTTCCCCAAAAGTGTTGAAAAATTACTCATATTCATCATCAACATCGTACTGTTTGTTCAATAAATAATCCCGCAGAAACCTTTCACTTTCGTCTAGATTTTTATCATTCCATGCTTCTTTAAGTCCTTTCTGAAAATTCACTACTGAAGGAAATGTTTAAATGAAATTTAATTCAGATTTTCGAGCAATCATAATTATGAAACTACAGAAAACAAATCTTTACCAGTTCTTCTACGTCAGGTATACCTTCAATTTCTTGTCCCCGTAACCAATCGTGATATTTAATTTCCTCATTTTTCTGAAATACTAATTTACAATAAAAACAACTACATAAAGACACAGTGAGTTGATATGAATATAACAAGTTGCAGACCAACAACAATCGAAATTTTCTTACTGCTAAAAATTCCGACAATCTCTTCTCATAACCATAATGCTGTAAAATACAAAAAGCAAACTTTTTCTTTTTCAGTTTTCAGACGTGGGCGAAGTAAAGGCTCTGAATCACCATCGCTATCATGTTGATCAATAATTACTGCATTAAATCTGAAAAAATAATAATAAACAATGCAAATGAAAACCTACTACAACAATAAATGTTAAATTTATTTTCAAGTAAAAGTAAGAGTATATAACAAAACATACTTTTGTTTTGCTAATCTTTGTTGCTCATAATAACCAGATTTTGAAATCCTCAGTTTTCCCTCATCGTCACTAATATCCCTATTATATGACTGAGCAATTATTTGAGGCATTATAAATTAAATTTGTTGTTGGAAGCAAAGGAAAAAAAGACATAAAACATTACAGTGAGCAATGAATTATATAACAGTTCAAAAACCAGACCATTTTAACACAAAAATCACAACCAGCACCCGTCCAAAGAACACATTAACAAAAATTGTTAAATAAAACAAATATTGTTTTTTAATACAAATAACTCACCCTCCTTTTTCAAGAACAAGTTTCCTCTCATAATCTTTTAAAAACAATGGAGCATTATCTTTAGTCTTTTGCACAGTGCTACATGCAGAGAACCTGAAAGTGAGATGAAAGTTTCTGTGTGGATTAATGCAATTTTAAATTATCAACCATTTCCTACAGAAAATTTAATTTCAAGTCTCATACAAAATGAAAATGCAGCTCTCAAGTTCCTTTTAATAAAAGACTATCTATAATTAAAAACGGCGATAGTAACGAAGAAAAAACTTCAGACCCTTCAATTTCATCAGTAAAGAAATTCGCATCTGAATATATCTCTGGATCGCGTGTTTTTAATGCAGATAACGTTCGAAGGAATTCTTTCTCATGTTTCAGCGACCACTGCTGTAACTAGCAAATTTTGGGCGAAATATTTTTAGAACAACAACCTGGAGAGTGTTTTCACTAAGAATAAAATAATTTCCAAACGACATACATAAAATGACATGCTCAGAAGTTCATGAAAATTACATTTACAGACGACTATGCACTACAACACTTAAACCTTGCAAAATATGTTTGACAAATTCCATTGCAAACTTACAATACTTTCTTCGCTTGATGAACTACCGCTATCGCCCTCTCCACCATCGCTACCGTACCGGCCTTTCACTACATATTTTAATAAAAATTACAAATTTTAATGTTTAAATTGGGTTAAGTAAAGAACATATTATGTTTATACATCTTTCAAAACACGCCGTATTTTGAAGCACATGCCATGGATTAATCCCAGGCAGATTAGTTTTTCTTAGTACAAGCTAGAAATCTTAGCGACGAAAAAATAGTAGTAGAACCGAAGAGAGAATTCAAAAACAAACATTTCTGCATCTCTTCTAATCGTCGCCAGCTGTCATACCGATCTGCATAAGCTCTATTAATGCTCAGCTTTTCATCCTGTACCTCATCACTATCCAAGTCCAGTTTAGGCATTCTTAGACAGGATAAATACAAACAACTATAAAACAAGTTGTTAGCAAATAGAACGGACATCAATGAAAAACAGAGAACATTTAAAACTCAAAATGCGGTGTTTGTCATATGAATTTCTCACGGTCATAAACTTTATTTCATGTAACTTAATGACCAACTCCACATTCAGAAAATAGTTATCTTAGTTATGACTTTTTCACCAACTTACCAATCTAACAACGAATCAGATGGTGAACTATAAATCAGAAAATTGAGAGAAATTTAAATCCACAAATGCCGACCAGAAAGAAAAAACTAAGGAACATACTACAATCAAACAGGACGGGATCTCTACGTTCTTGATAGTATAGCCACATAAATTAAAGATGCCACCTCTTAGGACAAGTTCTATGAGAGTACGAGGAAAGTATTACTTGTGCTTACGCTACAGATTTTCTTAATCTGGAAGTAAAATACTTTGACTGCAATACTAATTATTATTTTGGGACAGGTAAACTAATATTCTATTTACATGTTCTTGATGCATAACAAAGAATACTGCAACACATGGAAAGTTTCTAAGAAAAAGTAATATCCAATCTTTATCAACTAGGATCAATACAAAAAGGGGTGAAAAAATTAAACAAAAATGTTTTGTGCACAATATTTATAAGCATCATGTACCCCATTTCACATGAGATAATTCCGCATCACAGATATTATTTTGGAAGACATACATTTCAGAGATCGGTAGGGAAAATACGCGAGGCGCATTCATACAGAGTAAGGGAGACAACGATTTAAACAAAAATGTGACACCTGTTCTTGGTTTTGAAAATTTAATACTGTAACGTAGATAAAATCGAATATATATATAACACAGCATTACTTATCACATCCTTGAAATGGGATATATCACAATTTTATTGTCAATAGTACGATTATTACCATAAAATTTGAAGTCGTGAAGATAAATCAGGAGTTAGTAAACAATATACACTACATAAAAATCACAAATTCCAAATCAATGAATCACTTTTCAAATACATTGACCGATGACGAAAGATTATGTATAAATTCAAGAAAACGATCGCAATCATAGCTAAACTTTCGGTTCAGCGTTATTTTCACCGTCTTCATGATTCATCCTATGGACTGACAATTGATCATAAGCTGGAGGAGGAGAATCGTGAACCAATGGATAGTCTACTGCTACAGCAACTGATTTTAGCGGTACTTTTTTTGCAAGATGAGATTCTGTGAAGGATGTTGGCACAACAGCATGCATATTCTGTAAAAGGTATATTTAACAAAATCCATCATTTTCGCTCGATATTTGATAAACAATAAAACAATTTATCAAACTATCTGCTGTATTTGACACGAAATCATCAACTTCTAAATCAGGCAAAAGCATCTTACTCTCAAATTTAGATATCTTTGAGATCTTATTTGCTTCAAGATTGCCACCGAAATTGACAGCATTGAAACAAGACAGAGAAAAAGAGCCACGCAAACTAGCCACTGGCTGAGTACAGAAAGACGACGAGCTCGTGACGCCAGCCGAGAGAGAAGTGGAGGTTGCTAAAATAACTTTTTTACCGACAAATATGGCAGATTTGCAGCATTTACTTTTCAAATATGAACAAAAAACTGACCGTGACCTCTACAATAGTTGGATTTTCCATTTCTCGCAAAATTTGCTGGGCTCCATTTTTGGATTCCACTGGCTGTACTTGTATGATTTGTTCACCATTATCATCACTATTGCCAACGTTTGGCCCTAAATTATCCAATGTCATAAACAAATTTTGATCCATAGATTCAAGATTTTCTACGTGCACTTCTGGACATAACACATTAATTAAGCTTACCTTCCAAAGCCTTCCGCTCATGACCATGAGGTCTGCTCGAAGCAACTACAGGAATAATAGTTCGTGCACGCTGCAAATTTAGTACATTCTGAGCGATCTGATGGAAACGAGCTATCTCATTTTGAACGCGAAGTTGCCACTGGGAGAATAAATTTTCCCAAAGGTGCTCCTCGCGTCGTCCAGAGGATTGCAAACCAAAGTCTTCGAAACTATCAAGTGCGCAATATCAACATAAATAGACAATTATAGAGAAATATTAAGCTCTTATTTTCAATACTTTGGCAATTAAATTATCCATCTGTCAGTGAATGATATGCATCTAAAAAAATAATGCACAATTGAAATCTTAAAAATATTTGTACAAATAACTGCCATAAGGAAAAGCTCCAAGATGAAATCTTACCAGTCCTTTTCAATCATGGTTACTGACAAATTTAGTTTGAAATATATAAAGCTGCATAGTTTACGCAAAAAATTCTTAACTTACTAGAAATTAAGTTCTTCGAATTTATGCAGCCAAAGCTACCCTCAAAGAGATGACAAAATGCTTTATCTCTTAGAATGTCTTAAAACATTCAGAACTTGCAAACGTATACTACAATATTATGCACATAAAATATTTTTTTAATCACGTCTTATATTATACTACTTGAACTGATCTTTTTTGGTTCAAAATTTTTATTTGGCATACGATATCTATTGTTTTTCATATCTCTCCAACGAAGAAATGAAGAGGATGAGTAAATCTTGAATATTCGTATTTCAACTGCGGTGAAATATATTTGTCGCAGACACTGAACTTTGCTTCAGTGGCACCCTACATTGCTAGTAAAAGCACTCTATCACCACAGACTGTATCAACATTTGTTTGAGTATCCTCTAAGCTTGCAACTTCCGGACTTTTAAATAAATTCAAGATGCAGTTTCGGAAGCGCATTAAAATATTTCAGAAACAATTCCTTAAAAATAATCATATGAGGGCAGAGTGAAAATCTTGACTCACCTAAACAATGGAAGTGAATCCTTTACGCGATGCATCATTTTATTCACTGCCTCACGAACCACATCGTACGTTGGATTTTGATTTGTTATCGATATACAAAGCTTCAAAAGAACACTCCAAATTTCGTAGACTCATTAAAATGATATATTTTAGCAAAAGTGAAATCTAAACATACTCTAGAATTTCTCAGATCTTGTTGGTTATCACAACCAAATGAGCAAGCCTGTCTATTAATGCTGTCAGTATATAATCTGACACAACCATTGTAACATGCTTGCTTTGTTGATGCGATATTACAGGGTAAAGTGAATGCAAAAATTATTTGCAAACGGCATCCCTCCTTACACGCATCTTGAGACTAAAAGAATCACTGATGAGATCAAGTAACTTTTCCTTACAATTTTAATAGCCTATGCAGCTTTACACTGAATAAAATAGCAAAGACAGTTATCGAAGATGCATGAAACATGGAGTATTATACTCATGGCCAGAACACTATTACAAGAGGATGAAAAAATGAGACCTTTCCGGTCAAAATGTGTGTTTTTGTGCAATTGGAAAAACATTCTTCCTGCGAATGCGTATTACTGAGAAGTAATAGGAGGACACCAAGAGAAATCCAGCGCAACATGATTCCAACCTGGAGTACTGTTTTAAAATCACGCATTTATTTCACAAAAATTACCAAGCAATAAGAGTCGTATAATCCAAAATTACTTGAAAATACACCCGAAGATGACAAGACACAATAATATCTTCCGACATTTTATTTCATAATGCGTAAATCAGAATCATATACTGAACTTCACAGACTCTAGCCACATAACACTAAGGCAAATGACGGCCGAAACCATCACATTTGGTGCTAGACATTTCGACGTTTTAGAGGAAAGGCAGAATAAGACAAGGTCCAAAGGCCACTATGAAAACCAAAATCTCCATGTATGACCTAATAAATGAAAACTGAAGCTAGAAATAAAGGAATAAACTAGACAACGAAAATTACTGTAATAGCATTACTGAAGCATTAAATGCAAAATTATTAAAAGAACCCAGTTACGGGGAAATTTTGACATCTCGGCAAACAACACAACATCAAGCTTATCATGATTATAATCATTAAATGCAATGAATATTCGTGAAAAATTAATATATGAAGATATAAATGAATGATCAAACTTAGTAATATAGATTCTCTTTAATGAACTACACACTAGGACTCGAAGGGAATGGATAAAAGAAACTGGATTTGTATACGTCTTTTTTTTAAACAATCAGTATCACCCATTGCTAAGTCTAATCTTGACAAGTTCTAGAAAAAAAAGTGCAAACTTAACTTCAGCAGCCTACTTAAAAAAAATGCTGTAAGCTAGTAAGAAGCCGGATTTAATTGTGAAAAGGAGGTTAGCGAAGGTACTAACCGCGTAAGAGTTCGTTTCTAATCGCAATAGGTCTGAAGCCTATTTCGATTAGAAATGAACTTTTGTCTCAAAAATGATGTTTCCAGCTTTTAGTTATGTAGAATTCTACTGTACCAACAAAAAAGCAAATGATTAAGAGTACAAAAAAATGCACGAAGGTAACTGCCAAACGCCAAAACTGAATGAAAACTAAATAACAACGCTTTATATATTGGAAGTTTCGTTTATATTTAAATCATATTATGTATTCAATAATTTTCGGCCTCGTGCTGAGCGGCTGTATTCAACTAACATAAAATGGAGGCTAAAAGGAAAAAGTCCGCGGAACTATAAATGAAAACAATACAAAAACAGATGCGGTTGAGAAAAGCTATGTGAAGGGAGTAAAAGAATATACTGCCAGTGTACAAAAATCCGGTGCCAGCAGAATGATTACGCTTAAAACAATCGTCCGTGGAATTGAAACTTCACGAATCAAGTGGCCAGGAAAGGTGCTGCAATCGATTCTTGATGGTTTGGAAGAATGCCGAGAGGGGGATGACCATTGTGTCGTTCTCTGTATAGCGAGAAGTTTTTCTGTGCTATTACCCTCGGAGAACTGAAGAAGCAAGCGAATTCTGTAATCACCAGTATTGCAGGTCGTCTGTCAGAAACGGTTCTTGGAAGAATCCACGAAACGTGTCAATTTATAAAATACGCACTTCGAGGGAAATACACAACACGAGGTCTAGGTGTAGAGGCAAAATATCTAGCGTTGATGCAAGAAGCACAGGAACGTGAGATAAACCAGACAAAGTGGAGGCGAAAAGTAATCTCGGCGAATGTTGACCCGCCTATACTTGGAACAGTGAACCAAGCGGCAAGTGAATATGTTACACAGAATCTTGCCAAGTCAATGACCGATATTGCAAGGCAGCTCCAGGTAGCACAACAATGTTATGAAGGCATGACGAAGCGAGAGAAGCCATCGGGATCGAGGTGGAAAGCAACCATAGGAAAGAAGATAAGCTTGTTGAATTTCCACAAATCCCTCATAGAACGGACTTTGGCCGATGAAAAACTGGGAGCTAAAGACCTAAAGGAGGCCAAGACTATTAGCTATTCAATCCAATTCTTATGATAAAATGCTGTTGAAGTTAAGCTAACTAGTTACAAACAAATTAAAAATTAGCTAACTAATTACAGTTAATCATCACAAAATTCAACTATCTCCTTAAGTGAGACAATGATAACTGATCGCCTTCATCTCCACTATCATTCCAACCTTCATGAGACAGTTAATATCACTGACTGGTTGCGTATAAAATGGAAATCAGCATGAGTCAACTTTCTCTCCTTTTCATTTCTTACATATCGAATTTAGACGACTAATTGTGCTACAACACGCATGTATGTGTATGTTTCATCAACGTAGAGTCTCTGTGAGTCACTCAAAAACTTGATCAACCTATTGTGTATGATATCTCGCTGAATGAGATCTACTGAAGTTATTAATGAGCATATAGTTCGACTAACCTTATAGAGCAGAATACTCCATCAAACTTGACAAGAGCTAAAGCGTTAAACCATAACTCTATCGCAAACACTAGATAACAAAAAAAGCTTAGCAAACTTAGAAATAAAAGTCACCATAAAAACGATAACGTCTCAATTTACTTCCAAGTTCACACATATATATCAAATCAATATCACATCAACGTAGCGTTTATGGAAATTCATTACAACCCAATCCCAAATCATCACATACGGAATTATTTTCGTCCTACACTTCATCCTTGCCCGGAGTTTATCAGTCAGTAAATTATACCTTCGCTTTTCTCGTTTTCGACGGCAGTCAACTTGTTCTGACAGTGATGCCAACCTCTAACAGGATTGCTTCACGTCGCTTCGTATCGTGTATCATGATATTCCGTCGATCCGCTTTTATCCTGATTACAGTACTTACTCGCGTATCGATGCTAATTTCTACGTTCTCATTAGCGACGATTTCCTGAACGGAATGGCTCCCCATTCGTGGATATACTCTAAGACCATACTTTTTGCATAGTCCTAAATAGATGCATCGCAGACCTCCTCATTGTGTCTTCTAATGTAGTCGTGATATAATATTTTCTCGCACTGCGTTGCTAGATAGTCCACCGTCCTTACACGTTTCCTACAATGTTGGCACATACCTTTCTCACCTCCAAACATATTTCTATTTTGGAAGTTACAGTATCGTGCCTCATCTTGCGGACTGTTTTCATATCGAAGCCATATTGATGAATCATCAGTCACTGAAACACAGCTTAGTCCTCCGCGTCCCATGTGTTTTCTATTCTATCTCGCTACGCAAAAGCGCTTTCTGGGCTGCTCCTAGGTTTTCAATGGTTGGATTGTCTACGAGATTGTCGCTAGTTTGAAGGTAAGGCCCAGTGTCTGCTGAGTACGTTGTCTTCTACTTCAGAATCGCTACCCTCTTAATAGGTTGGGACTCGGTTTGTATAAGTTATGAAGCCGATAATTCCACCAAAAAATATTTTATAGAATAAAAACAATCCAGTTATAAGTACTGTCAACTTGATGTCTAACGTAGTAAATGCTGAAAAAGCCTAAATGAAACTGTGTTCAGTTCTCCTGCACCTAGCAGTCAGCCAGTTTGCATTACAGAGTAAACAATTACAGATGATAAAATAAGTGCATACAATGTAAATGTTTAATGCTGCAGCGTAGTCTCGTGCCATCACATCTCGTGATTAGCTAATTTTGTTCCTCAACATTTTATTAACAGTAACACTACACACAGATATTACCAACTGTCACTCAGCTCATACTAGACGCATATAACATTGATACATGATTTAAGAACGTTAAATACTTTGGTAAGCATAATTACGAAACTCTATGCGTGGTAAAATGTAATAACTCTGAAACTGATTACATTAAGCGAAAACCAGTGCAAAAGTAGCTCTCTTTGTTCATTCACTCGCCTAACATCTGGTACAGTCCAATCGATTGTAATATATTGATATGAGCTCAAACAAAATCGCAAACGAAAAAAACTATGACAATAAGAAGATTTCTTAACAGCTATTTCTATGATTAACTAAGCAAACGATTGTCATTTTTTAATTAGTTTTAGAGCAATTAAGCTGTTAAAGAGGTTTGTGTTTTGAAGTGATGACTTCGTGGTAGGACAGCTTTGGTTCACTTCCAACGTTATGAATGTGCCAGAAATATGGCGCGCAGTTGTTTCTTCCTTGGGGAATGTGTTATGAGTGATTTATTACGTAAATATGAAAGATTTTTTATTTCATTCAAAATTTGTTCGAAATAAATACTTCTTTCTGTACGCATTTTTTATTTTATTCTTTACCAACTGCCTTACGCTTATTTCCATCTGTCTTAAATCATTGTATCTTATCGTATTGCTTGTCATGCACCTGCAATCACTGTAGCTGCACCGAAAGTGTTATTTGCATAAAATTTATAACATGTGATTTGAAAACTGTCTATGGTAGCGTTTGAAGTAAAGTTTTAGCAAACGTGAGATTTTTTGTCTTTTATTAACAAACTGCATACTTTTTCTGCATATTATTATTTAAAATTAGAAGCTGAGAGACTGAGTTGCACGGCACATGCACTTTTGATGTTGTTTCTAAATTTGTAATATGCTTTTCGTAATGAAACATCAATTACTATGGAGAAAATGTGTCGCAGTAATGTGTCATTTCAACATACATCCCAGCTAGCAACTGCTAATGTGCATGGGTTTTTGTTGAACTATATTTTTTTTACCAGTTTCTACAAAACTTTTCACTGAACAGCCTTTTTTTGAGCAAGCTAATTAAGGCGAAAAGCTTCAGCAACGATTGACATCCTAACTTTGTTCCATTTTTCGTTCAACTTTTTCTAGCAATTGTCTCTTTGAAAAGATATTACGTGACAAAAATGGCTTTTATATTTGCATGTTAAACTGCACAACAGAGGGATAAGTTTTGCAGTAAAGCGCAGTTATAGTTCCACTGCATTCGAATTATAGCAGCATTGTTGGTTCAAGAATAGGTTCTTGATTACTGAAAATTTCGGTTTTTTCCATTGAATTAAAAACAGGAAGCAATTTGCAGATTGCAGTTTAGGTTGATGGACTCTGATTCCACTCATAGTCTTTCCTTTTATCATTTTCATGATAAACTTGTACCCTACATTTTCTCTTTTTCATATCACCATTTTCTAAGTTACTTGTTTTCATAACATACTAATTTATGTGCATATGTTGCTTATGTAGATTCGCATTTGCGACCATTATCTTGGCACTAAACTTAACTCATTTCTATGATCATTTTTTGTTTAGATAAAGTCTATTATATTTCGAAGAAAATACCTGCCCATAAAATGCCTTACGCTGACAATTAGCATCACCACTGACGAATAAGAAGCAGACATTGTAGCAAGGTGGAATTCAAGTTATAAGTTGCTTAACACGGGTTCTCTTCTGTCCTCATTATTTGATTCTCACGTCCCAGTTAACCCAGTTTTTGATTCCTCACATAACAAATCCAACACTCTTCGCAGTATCTATAGTCGTGATTCATCATTATCCTCTCAGTTGAGGGCAATTCCTGTCTGTTCGAAAAAGAATAGCTGCATTTTACGACCATTTCGTCGAAAAAAAACAAAGGTAATTTATAAGCTGTGATGAAAGTAAAAATTTTATCATCTAGTTGCTAGTGTAAAAGTCTCGCACTCAGTTCTTGGATATAATCGTATTTGTAGTAAGTCTAGAAACATTATTACGCAAGTCATTCTTTCCATCCCTGAAATCGACAAGAAAGTTTAACACATTGCTCATGTTTGAAAACTTGAAGAATGAGGACTGCGGACTACTTGCTGAATTTCAAATAGAAGTAATTTCCTAAATAATTGCAACTTGATTATTGATATTATAGAAATATGGTAATAGATTTGAAGAATATGAATCAATGTTTCATGTTTTGTAGCGAAGTTCGTCATTGGGAAACACTCCGAAAATTGGTGGCGATCTTCCTGGGATACAAAATAAAAGTGGAGATAATACAATGAAGCGAACCGCATCTCCAATACTACCTGATGGTGCGACGCAAGCTAAATATGATCCTCTTGTGTGTAATGAAGAAGTTGATATGTCTGGCTCGCATCGCATTTTGAATGCCTTCTTTGGCACTGATGTACAGGTGACGTACAGATTAGTAATTAGCTTTGGTGTACAAATTACTGCTGAACGGTTTTGTCGTTCACGCGAGGAGAAAGCAAGAAAGTGCTATTACTGCTTTTTGTATTATGTCGCCATTTTCATATTTCACTTCCTGCCTACCACTTGGTAATTGGGTCATTACTGACTAGACATGCTGGTAAATTATCTAGGATTGTCACATTCACTGTTACACTTTTTCGTATTGCTTCCTTAAGATTGTGTGTTCCCATCTTGTATAATGCTTTAAATATTTGTTATTTATTTGTTCACTTCCAAAATTTTATCAGCTGTTGCATGCATACCCTTTTTTGTAATTGTTCCTAATAAATTGTACGCTCTGTTATATGAAAATTTCGTAGCATGAGGATAGATATGAATTGTTGTAAACCAATTGTTCAATCTGTGTATGATTATCTTCATCAATCTCATTATCGTTTGTATATCCACTTGTAACTTATTTATATTTATTGTAACACGAAAAAATTGACTTTGAAATGTATTATAATTGACGTAGACAGTAGTTGTGTTTTTAATATCTTTTGTTGCGTGTTACTACTGTTGCACTGAAGAGTGCTCGCGCCTTTTTGTTTGCGAGTCTTATGCACACTTGCTCAAACGCCATTTGTTGTAAGATGTCTTGGAACTCAGGCTGTTGTAGAGGTTTCAGCTTACATACAGTCATTGTATTTAGTGCAGTTATTTCATGAACTGTTCTATGATTATAGGTTTGCAGCTAGTTATCCAAATATTACTTGGTGCATGGTAAGTAATTTAGATTAGGTATTTCGTAATGGGCGCTTTTTATAGGACTATGAGAAATTTATCTAGCCAATCCATAAAATATGCATGGGTTCTGAGATGCAAAGCGACGCTTATTTTTTTATTTTCTGGAGCTTGGAACTAAAGGAGAGAAATCTTGAAAAGGGGCGAATATCAAAAGGAGTGCTTGGTTACGTTTTCTGAAGCAGTGTTTGTGGTGAAGCACGACTTATATGTTATTATGGTGTGCGTTTTGTTTCAAGTAAACATTATACTATGTTTGCCTGCATTTTTCTAACATATTAGTTATAGTTAGTAATTGAAATAGCGTCATGAAGCCAACATGAGCACTTTAAATTTGCTGAATTGATTAAAAGTGCAAATTTGCGTTTTGCGAAAGAGGATTTGGTGAGGTGTTATTGGGAAGTGATATGCAAGGGTAACTTCTCAGTATTGCAATTTCGAAATGCGCATTTTAGATTGATTGTTGAGGTATAGTGAGTGCAAGTGCATTTAGTGACATGCGGTGGTGATTCAGTGTAACACGTCTTATGTAATGCTAGATTGCGAAACAAGGATTTTTTGAGGCATTTACGTAGTTACTTTACTTGTATGGGTAACATGTTTTTCGCTATCACATCTATTTCCGTCATTCTTTATCCATGCATTTACTGAGTTGTCTGTACGATCTTAGAAAGTGGGGCGTGCATCTTTTGCATCTACTGCTAGCTGTTATTGCTACTATGTTATCCTCCTACTATTATTGTCGTCACTATTACTATCACAAATACCGCCTATTTCGTTCTACTGATCAATACAGTTAGTTTTCAGAACAATTTACTACAGCCATATGTATCTTTGTTTATACATCAGCCTTCTGTTTTTGATCTACAGCTTGTAGCTAACTTCTTTAATTACACCTGTTCCCCGTTGTTGTTTCTTTGCGTAATTCATCTTCATCCTGTTTTACTTTTATATACTTACTGTCATGAATTGTAATCAACATTTAAATGTACAGTATACTGAAACATAGTAAAATACGATCATTAGAAGTTGTTCATGCGTCATTTTTGCGCAATTTTGTTTTAGAAGATCTAAGCAATATTGAAATGTATTGAATGCATTATCTTAATGATTATTTATTTAACTCTGCAGACCACTGGGATTTAATCTACTGAGCCAAGTGGTAGCAAGAATGAAATTTGTGTATTCTACGCAGTCTGCATCAAGAATTAGAGAAGGAAAGATGACTTAGCTCTTACTGGCTTGGTTTTAGGAAAGAGACGATAAAAAGTCGTTATTTAAACATTCTGGTTCATTAATTGGCGATTCTTACTCTGTTTGTTCTACGAACGCCTCAGTAAGCATGGAAATACAATCTGTAGATTGCACCAATGGCAATCAAATGGCTGATGTCCCTACTGCAACCACTTTCATTGCTGTTCATCCGCATAGTTCAAAGTTTGAAAATGAACGTATCGCTTTGTTTGACTTCGGCTCTCAGTTTGGGAAGGTATTAATATTGTATTTTCTCCTACCTACACGATATTTAACTCTCGATTTCAAGAGATTTGACTTTTCAGTTCATCTTACTGATTGAACTTTTTTTTACAATAGGTTAAATTTTTTTCCTCACTAATAAATTTTCGCTCGCTATCGAAATCTTATTTAAAACTTCATGTTTGTGTCCGAATTGGAAATCAGGATTATTTCTCATTACATTATATTCGATATCGTTCATTTCTTCAGTCGTCTGATTATATGAACCATTAGTTTCTTCTGTTACTCAGGTAATCGATCGTCGAGTTCGTGAACAGAATGTTTTCAGTGAAATTTTGCCTTTCAGCACAAAAGCAACGGATCTAATTGAAAAAGGCTGCTACAAGTGAGTATATTATAATTACCTTCAACCCTATACTATAATTTTTAGCCTGGGATATTGTCTTTTCACACTTGTTTCATGAAGCATGTTATCATTCATAATGCACGCTATCCATTTACTCTTTCTTATCTATACTTTTTTAAAGAGCAATTATATTGAGTGGAGGACCAAATTCTGTGAATTCATGTGGTGGACCTCATTTGGATCCTGCGATATTCACATGTGGTATTCCTATCCTCGGAATCTGCTATGGTTTCCAGGTAATCATTTGTAAGCTGGTTTCGTACGTCTTATTGTTTATGATTTTCATCTTTTGGGATTTGTATCTTTCACTAGCCCAGTTTTTTTTTTTACAGTATTTAGAAATCCTCATCCATTAGTATTTGAACTTTTCAGCTGATCAACAAAGAGTTTGGAGGAAATGTAAGCAAGGAGTGTGTGCGAGAAGATGGACAGATTGAAGTAAATAAATTTTTTGAGTTTTGTATACAAATCAATAAAATTCCACTGTTGGAGTGAAAAATATTTTGATCTGATTGATTTTCAAAGGATTTAAAGACTCATGACTTTATGAATTGAATAAAACTTGTAAACACAAGCCTTATTTAATTTATTCAATAAGAATTGTTCGCTGACTCATTATCTTGATTGCCGAAAACTAAACACTTGATATTAGCCGGCAGCGAACAAAAAGTGACGTAAGATACCAAAAAATTATAATATATAAGCAAAATGCAAATTGAGTAGTCATATTCCGATTGTAATTTATTTGATTTCCATGAATGTTGCAATATCCAGTTTATATAGTTTGCTCATAGCAAAATTTAGTAGCCAAAGTAATGTATCGCATTTATTATATGTGCTGTAAATTGCATGATACAAACATATTGTCTCTAGTTTGCTCGGAAATCCAGTGATTTACACTCAAAGATATTAGAGCTTAACGAAATTTTTTGTAATCTATATTTAGTACTTAAAAATATTAATGTTTTCGATTTTTGCAGATTGATATTGATAGCACCTGCCCACTGTTTAAAGGGCTCACGACGAAGCAGAAAGTATTGCTTACTCATGGTGATAGTGTTACGACACGAACGGTTGCTGATGACTTTAAAGTTGTGGGTAGAAGTCAACTTTTCGTGGCAGGTAGGATTATCTTCTTAAACTATCGAGGTTAATTCACTTTTAAACTTCACAAAATCAAGGATTTTTAGCAATAGCTAATGAAAAGCGAAAAATATATGGCTTGCAATTCCATCCTGAAGTAGATTTGTCCATCAACGGTAGGCAGATCTTGCATAATTTTCTGTACGGCATTGCTGGTGTAAAAGGAGATTTCACAATGGGTAGCCGTGAGCAGAAATGTGTCCAAGAAATTCGTTCTGTGGTTGGTGATAAAAAAGTGTTGGTAAGTCTTCATGTGTTCAGTTCAGAGTTTTTATTTCTAACTTGGTCAAAAAAAAACAGAGTCGTATGATAGTATGCTTCGAACTCTGTCTCTAATCCTAGTAGCACTAGGTATATTCAGGTTTTGGTTTCGGGTGGAGTAGACTCAACGGTATGTGCTGCGCTTCTTCACAAAGCTTTAGGAAGCAATCGAGTAATTGCCGTGCATATCGATAATGGTTTCATGCGTTTCAATGAAAGTGTTCGGGTTGCAGAATCTTTGAATGATTTGAATTTGAAAGTTCTAAGTCCGTTTTTTCTATTAATTGTTTACTACTAACTTGCAGTGGTATGAACTTGTATATTGTGGGAAAACTTAATTTAATTCTCAATTACTTTTGCAGCCTTTTTTTCAAATTAGAGTAAATTTTGTTTAATTACTTAAGAGGTTGTTTTTAATTAATGCTAGCTCACCGTTGTGTTATGGAGTACTTATATTAAGTTTTAGATAGACTGAACAAAAAATATTCAAATTAAATTTCAAATAGTAATTATGGTTTTTCTATTACATTGATCGAGGTATCGAGTAATCTGATTGCCATCATTTGTGTATTACACATTGTTGAAGTAAAAACTGCTTCATTTCATTATGTAAGTGAAGTAACCATTAATGTTGGTTGTTTTTTGTAGAGTACAGTGCCTTCTATACTTTTATGAATGGTCAAATATCATTTGGTGGCAAATTTTCAAGGCCACTAATGAGAACAGTGCAACCCGAACTGAAGCGGAAAATAATTGGTGATACATTTATGCGAGTGAAGGATAAGATAATAGAGGAAGTTAGTAGTTCATGAAAATTTTAGGAACAGTATAGTTCGAAAAAGTTTTTCAACACTTTTACTTAGGTTTTTATTGACTTCTTTTCAGCTGAAATTAGATAAGGATATATTTCTGGCTCAAGGTACACTTCGACCAGACCTGATTGAAAGTGCCTCACATCTAGCCAGCTCTCATGCAGATGTAATCAAAACTCATCATAATGATAGTCCACTCGTTCGTGAATTAAGAGACGTGGTAAACAAAATGAGTGTTTCATTTCTTCCACGAAGTTTCAAGTTTAAGTGACTGAGTTTAATCATTCTGTTTTAATTAATTCGAAGGCCTATTTTACAGGGTAAAGTAGTGGAACCTTTAAAGGATTTTCACAAAGATGAAGTGCGCGAATTAGGAAGGTCACTGGGATTACCAGAACATATTATTCATCGGCATCCTTTTCCAGGTCTTATGAAGTTTCATGGAAATTCTTTGGGGCTGATAGTTCTTAATTTCAGATTAGAAAGTGGAAGATTGTAGAGTTAACAATTTTCATACATTAAATGAGGTTATAAGTATTTTTTTCTGTAACTGGGTTTAATTATAAATGAATAACCGGCTGCGTATTATTTGTTGATAGTTTAGAAGCGCGGTGTGACGTCTAGACATTTTAGTCTGGTTGCGTGTCTAGTATAGTCCAATCTTTATAATTGATTAGTATATTTCATTGAAAAACAAACTCTTCAAAAGCAACTGCATTTTTCCAGCCTGCATAACTAATTTTTCCGCTGACATTCTTTCCAGGTCCCGGTTTAGCTATTCGGATTCTTTGTGCCGAGCGGGCAATGATTACTGATCTTGATCTTTTTGTTACTACTCAGCACCACTTACATTTAATTGCGAATCTCCCTCACTGTAATAAGAAGGTATGTTAATTTTCTTAATCTTATTGAATTAGTAAAGATCGAAAACCGTTAGGTGGTAACTATATTGAACTAATATGTTGCACTGGTTATTTCATTAACTTGATCACAGTGTGATTAATAATATAGTTGTGCCATTCCAAAAGCATTTTTTGAAATATCATTTTATGATAGTGAGAAATTGGGCTTGAAAAAATAATCGCACTTATGAGCATGAGTGTTGTAAATACGCTGAATAATTGGAATTTCAAAAACTGTTTTAGTCAGAAGAATATGGTACCATAATTCAGCACATATCGACGAATGACTTAGAAATTATCGGTCATCATAATTTTGAAATTGCAACTACTCTGTTGCCTGTACAATCCGTTGGTGTACAAGGTTTGTCTATTGCTGAATTTTATTTACGAGAAATTTTTCATTAAATTCCCTATTTAGTGATACTAGATTTATCATTTTTTGTAGTCTCTTTCAGGAGATGGACGTTCATATGCGTACGCTGCAGCGTTATCTACGAACGAAAGGCCTATACCATGGAATTTACTAGAGCAACTAGCCCGCGTTATTCCTCGCTTGCTTCACAATATAAATCGGTATACTCCTCTATGTGATAAGTCTATATTTTTTACCTTAAAAACGTAAACTACTCTGAAGTGAAATTACTAGTTAGTTTAGTGAATAAAAATTTGAAAACCACATTAAAGAACAGTATATTCACTTCAGAGTAGTTTTTTTAATAAATACTTTATAGATTGCTTTAAATATGGTTATCAGAAATGGGAAAAAGCTGTGATGAAAATCACTGAAACAAGTTTTCCAGTGCTCTCCTTTCTGTTTATTCTTTTTTGTGGTTTTCAAATTTTTATTCATTAAACTAACTAGTAATTTCACTTTAGAGTAGTTTACGTTTTTGGATGCGCTATTGAATATTCAGTTATCGACGTAACGCGTACATATCTGAATAACTTTACTATTTCACTTGTAAAGTGGGCCGACAGAATAGCTTATGATGTTCTGTGTGGATTAGACAAAAATGGGAAAAGAGATCCTGCCTTAGAAATATGTTTGCAAAAGATACAACAGGTTTTTAAATCTTTTTTTGTAGATCTGAACTACATTTTGATATTTAAATTACGTATTTTGTAAAATGAAGGCAAAACTTAACAAATTTAGATGCCAGTGGTGATGCTTCCCTTACATTTTGATAGAGATCCAATAGAAAGAAAGACATCGGTTCTTCGATCCTTTGTCCTTCGTCCGTTCATAACTCACGATTTTATGACGGGCGTTTCTGCTTTACCTGGAAGAGATATTCCTGAAAAGGTACAGGCATTCCAGATTCTCTTTAACGGATGTATCACTGTTATAATACAGCTGCAGCCTAAAAAATATGGTTTTTATGAAATTCAGTTGAAATTTGCTGCATATTAGTTGTGAAGTGCAACAATCCTTGAAGTCGTGACGCAATTTCAATTCATACTGTCTTAATTTTGACAATAAATCGTTAGTCCACGGATCAAAGTTTCATGTCTGATACACAAAGCGCATGGCCAGTCCCCGTTCCTTACATTATCGATCTTGCGTGCTTTCAGAGTATACTGGAAATAGTACGGCGTATCTCAGAATTCGTACCACTGACATCACGCGTCATGATTGACCTTACATCGAAACCTCCCGGCACTACAGAATGGGAATAAATTGTTCTATTGTTTCTCGTATGCTTTGTTATATTCATGTACAAGAAATTAGTAATTCATCTCGCTTTCAAAAATATACTATACTCAAATGCATGTCAGCGACATGCAAGAAAATTGTTAAAAGAAAGTAAATTCGGACTGTTTCCGTACGTTTTGTGAAATTCACTTCTTTCTTGTACTCATGGACCTATATATTTCCATACTCCTTTCAGAATTCAGTTCGGAAAATATCTTTTATTAAATTTAAGATCAGTCCCATGTGGGACAACAAATTTGTCTGTTTTCAAATGTTTTCAAGGTTCTCATTTGCTTGCAGCACAATGTTTGTTTCGGCATCGAATGTTTTTTGTTTGTTTGTGATTACTGCATCATTTTTGTTAACGATCTTGTATCTGAAATAAAATCTCAAGGGATATGTATTTTAACTGACATGTTTGCATCTCTTGTTCCAGATTGCGGTTACTATGATTTCTTACTGCATGCTTTTGACTACATCAACCTTCTGATACACTAAGGTGCATCACCAAATAGCAACGGTTACTGTGAGGGCTACTTTCACTCTGTGAGCTTCCGTCATTTTTTATGATGGCGTTTTTTAGCTTCATATGCAGTGGCAGGTGAGTAAATTATCGTCTTTGTGGAGATGTAGTAGTTCCAGGCTGTCGAGCGTTGCTTTGTGAGCTTCCGGAGCCACTAGCAGAAGTCCCATCATTAGATGCCGCGGTTCTTGTTGGTCTCAATCCCTCTCCATTTACAAGAGCTCGGACCAGTTTCTGTGTGTCTTGATTGTTGAAAGTACAAAGGTCTTGCTGCATTTCTGCCTGATTACGAGCGTTTTCAGCAAGAGACGTTAGTAATGTCTCGATATGTTTGTTCATTGCCAGTATTTGTTTATTAACCTGAAAGCTTTTTAAATCAGACGACACATAATGGTCTAGGACTGGATTGCTGAACGGAAGTCAACAGGACGTAATTAAATCTAACTCCACTTCATATTCAGTGCACACGTTTGTGAATAGTTTTCAAAAATACTTGTTAGGA